TTGTTTGCATCTAATGAATAGTATATGAAAAGCACAGAACCATCTTGAAGAAGCGAGATTTGTGCCAGATCCGTCTTCTTAAAGATTGTTTAATGGTTCAGTGTCCCCATGGGTTCAGACAAACGTTGTAAGGGCTGATTTAGTGTTTGTGTGGCAATGTCTTGAATCGATGTTTCTGTTTACAGTTAACCGCCGTCTGAGGTCTTTAGATGAATGTAATTTTGTACAACAAAATCCTATGATATCCCATCATCTGACCTGGTCGTGGACGAGTTACTTTCACGACAACAACGCGGCTTCGTCTATCTGAACCTATGCGTGGTTAGCATAAGCTCCTAAACTTCGAATGGTCTCTGCGACAATTCACTGAAATCAAAGCCAAAATGTTGATACAGGTACTTTTATTTGTCCCTTTGATTGTGAAGAAATTGATGACTAGCTTCCTAAAATAGGTATTTTGTTTTAGACGCTGTGTGTGTTTACAATGTATAGGAAGTGCAAGTGTGCGACTACATTAGATTTGTTTCCAATTAGTCTTGGAAATGAAAAGGTAAATAAGACTGAATACGAGTAGAAGCTCTTTCATTGTTAGTTTTAACAAACAGTTCTGCAATGTAACATATATTATTTTTGACCACTTTCTAAATGGCATTGTGATTTCAAAGATCTGAAATGAATCTGCGAAAATGACGCATAAGAAATGGAACAATGTGTTTTATTCTAAACGCTAAAAACATGACAATTGATGTGGACGTGGCCGGTATTTCTTCTCATTATGGGACTTGGTTTGTTTTGTTTTGTAGCTTTGATTGTATGATAATTTCGATCTCGATAATAGTGGGAATCCCAGTATCCGGTAAATGAACCACCAAATCCACCTGCAAATGAGATCATCGAGAGAGAGAGATCGAGAGAGAGAGAGAGAGAGAGAGAGAGAGAGAGAGAGAGAGAGAGAGAGAGAGAGAGAGAGAGAGAGACGCCTGGAAAGAAATATTCAGTAAGTTTCTCACTCGCTGTTTAGGAACTCTGGATTGGTCCGCTCCACATTCATATTCATATCTTGGGCTCTCTGCTGCCCAAAAGCTGATTTCGTAACGAGTCGAGTCTTGCTCGAACAGTATTTTATTAGAGTTACAACATTCATTGAATTTAGAACGCCTTATGATTTAGAAATGTTTGTCTAGCGTGTATTTTCTCATATGTATATTTGCCTTGCCTTTATAGGTGTTTGTGCCGGCTGAGACCGAGGGACAGGACACGTTTTTAACTTTCGTGAACTCCTTGTTTCGTCACTATTTCATATTGATTCATTAACAGATGATTCTGATATGGCAGGGCTCACAAGTGTTTTTCATGATTATTGAAACGAATTTCTATTCATATATTTGAAACATTGTATTCTAACATATTCACAAAATCTTGCTATCTCATTACAGGAAAATACAGATTTCTGCAGTCGAACAACTGGAAAACAGAAAGGATATAATTTTACTCGTTCTGCAATTCAGAGTTTTTACGTCATTCCTGTTGTCTTCTCGTTACAATCTTGTTGTTTGCTTTGATTTCAAATGAAAGGTTTTACCACCCTATGACGCTTTTCACTGTGGACCGGAGCAGAGATCGATATTCCCGCTAAGGCACAAAAAGACGATGCATATTCCAGAAGCAATATAACTACTCGACCTTCTCTGTTAGCGATCTGTTTTTGAAAGTTATTTGTGACATTTTATTTTCAGAATGTTTTTCATCCTAAATCCCTTTTATGGTTACAATCTTACCAGTAATATTCAATATATTAAAAAACAACAAAACAAAACCCAAAAAAAAAAAAAACAAAAAACAAACAAAAAAAGAACCCGATGCTAATCAAGATTTCCTTTCGGACTTTCTTTCAAATTATTTATGGTAAACCTGCATTGATGAAACAGCGCACAAGCAACACTATGAATAGTTCCCATATTACTTTATTAGTTAAACCTCTTGTAATATTGATTGATTTCATTTTTTATTATTAAAGTTTCATCGATTGACTGTGCTAATCAGTGCAACAATGTAATCGGGTTGGTGCTGGTCGATCATGTAGAATACGTGCAATCTATTACATATGTGCTGGTAAGCCTAGCTGGCTGCACTGGGCCGTGATGATCTTGTTACACTGTACCGAATGGCGTAACGAGCTGTCAAATCATATTCGCTTTCCTTGATTAAGTACTGTAATATTAGAGAAGCTTGTTATGACGACGTCAACAACGCCACAACCGTTCAGGAACTGCAGCCTCTCCACCTACATGGTAATTGCTTTACAGGTACATACTTCATTGCTTATTTTCAGCAGATGAAAGGGATATAACAGCGTTAAGCTCCATGTTATAAATATTTCTAAATATTGAGGAAGGGTTGGTGTGTGTTTGTTGATTAACTAACGTCGCACTCAGCATAATCTAGCTATATGGCGGAGGTCTGAAAATAATCGCGTCTGGACCAGACAACCCAGTGATCAACAGCATGAGCATCGATCAACCCAATTGAGATGCGATGACATGTGTCAACCAAGTCAGCGAGCCTGACCACAAGATTCCGTTAGTCGCCTCTTACGACAAGCATCGGTTGCTGAAGACCAATTCCAAGCATGATCTTATGGGTAGAACGGTTTGTTGATGTTGACACCTAGTTGTTTTGTTCTGTATTTGATGATGAGCAAGGTGGTGCCTTGTGGTGACACTCTTGGACTACCAACAGATTGCGTTAGTGTGACTTCAACAACAGTTCGACTGAATTGGTTACACGGTAAACATTATGTCTTTGCGTTACCTCTAAATTTAATTATGAAAAACAAGATCCCGCCATATATACTCCTTCATTATGGTCAGTCATTCCGTACGCCCTGGTCACAATACAACATAAGAGACATACATTATGATTCTTACAATGTTTGTGGTGAAACATATTATTATTTTCAGGCAGCTTGACAACATTCAAAACAGAAGGCATATGAAATAATAATAACTTTCACAAACATTACTTTAAGAAACCGATATTAAATTAACACAAGTGTTACTTACCCTTGGGCAGCAGTTCTTTACAATAGCAACCAATCTTAGGTTTCGTATTGCGGGATTTGCCAGCTGGTCGTTAACAGTGTTCTATCTACCTTGAGTTAACCTTCCGTGCGAGCATCATTACAGTCTAGATCTGTTTCAAGATGCACTATCTATTTGAATTTACTGTGGAGTGTACATGTACATCTTTTCAGCTTTTGCTAGAAGATAGCCGGGAATGCCGAGTCAGCTACCATACACGTCTGTGTCATATCAAGTCCATCTCCGTCAGGTACTTGAGACTGGCTTATCTCTGTGGCAAATGCACATTCTCAACAACATCCTAGCAAATATATAAACAGAAACACGCCAAGGACATTCTCCAGACCCGTGCAAGCCTTACCGTAAACAGACCCTGACCCAAAACTCACGTTTTAAAATTCCCAGCAACATTTCTTGAATAGCCGTTCGTAGATGTTCATTTCTTGAACAGGTTCTCCAGAAGCAAGCCAGATGAAATACACTGTAGTCAAGGATTCCATGCCATGTCATACAGAACTTTGCCTGCAAAAAGCTTCATGGTAGACTTATATATCCCAACTGGACGCATCAGTAATGTCTGATGCAATTTCCTATTTTGAATATACCATATGCCCCTGTGTCCGTTCAGAACACTTACCTTGACTTTGCATGTGTTTGTTACAGGTGCCACGGATGGGGTAAGATACGCTTACATTTCACCAACAGCTGGTATTGTCACTTTGATGAAATGATAGGACGTAGGGTGTCGGTATTTTATGGGCCCTTCATGTCATCCTCATCTGCCCCGTAAGTCCACAGGGCTCATCAGCAGACAGCCTTCACTAGCTCGAGACCGTTCAACGGCACAGCAGGCATTGCATCCACTGATAGTGATTACAGCTCAAACCTGCTGGGTACTTTCGCCGACTTTAATTAGGGGGTGCTCTATCAACACCGCAGTCGCTAAGTGTTTAAGTTGATTCATTTTTCAGTAATGCTTTTTGGAATGGAAAAGAAAAACAAGTGTAAGAGTGTGTAGAAAACCGCCTCTACCACACTTATTCGACACACTTGTGCACTTCATGTATCTTCATTCGACTATTATGTCATTTCTGTTTGTCAGATTAATCAATATCTAAACAAACAAGGAAAAAAACAACAGGTCTCATGTGGGGATTGGTAAACCCAGTCCCATAAGAAATCTCTGCTAATACATGTAACTCCGGCGTTAATGACACGTGGATCCTATTCCGATAGTCGTGTTTTACCAACTTCTTTTAATGAAAGAAGTAATCAGCATAGTAAAATCCTTCGGAGGAAAGAATCAATGACAGTTTCGATACTGAATGGAAACGCTCTTGAAACTCGCCTCAAAATGCAATCCTCTCTTATCACACTCGAAGGAACGGCAAAGTAATTTCTAAAATTAGTTTGTTAAAGGCAAGTTCTAATCTGGTTTTAGACCAAGAGTGTGTGTTGCCGATCTGGCTGTTTTACTGCTCCCAGGCAGATGGTACTCACTAAGGAATTGCATGACGTGCAATGTTTACTTGACATGTTGAAGATCGTGTCAACGTGACCGTGCGGCGTCAGGCAACAATCAGTCATTTCCGAATGATGCAAATTGTATTCCTGGCGTGTGTTATCAATGGCCAAAGACACGTTTACCCTTTTCACGAGTATGTGGTGTCGTCACTGATTTTCAACGATCCATTTAACCTCTGTCTTGCTTTTTACGGATGATGGAGAATGGCTTTTACACTAGACGAATCAGTATTCAGCAAATATAGGCACAGAAAAAGAAATGTGGGTGGTATGTCGATAATTACATGGAGCGATTAAATCTGAACTATCTTTTTATGTCCACTGAGTAGGTCTTGAATGATGTTGGAAACAACGGAAGTCCAATTAACCCCAGAAAAAACAGAGAAAAAACACTTGAACAATCGATAGTTTATTCATAATGAACAAATAACGTACTCAAGCAGTTCACCTGTAGGCAGGCAGTGTCGCCACTTTGAGTACTCAGCTGGGTCATATATGGAAAGACGCGTAGAGCTAGGACAAAATCAACAACACCTACAAGTACACTGACAACAGTTGTTAACAGCTTTCATTTACAAGGTAAACCATTGTATCCGAACTGACAAAGGGCTTCAAGACATACCGCCAATTGATTTAAAAGAGTGAAAATACAGAGCCTCACATCTGTTATTACATCTGCATCGGTTCTAGTAATTTAACTTCTTTGAGTGGCATTTTAGAAGCTGGGAAGTACAAAATTGACAAACTTTATGGATAACAACCACTGTATATTACATTCCTGCTCGACAACGGTACAAGGATAAAGTAATACGGTTATTACGGTACTCGTAATAAAAAGTTGTTGTCCATAAAATTTGTCAATTTTCTAGTAATATAATTTCAAGCTCCTATTTTAGGATTATCTGCAGCTTCTCTATGTTCGTTTTGAAAGTCTCCAAATTAAACGTTCAATAAGATAATTTTAAAACTAAAACGGTTGTTTCCTGGATATTGTATATGATGCTGGGAGCATCACTTTTGCCTCTGGTGAAGCGCTGAGAAAGTATAAAATAAGAAAAAGAAAGCATCCATTTAAAAGTATACACTTGGATCTGACCAAACTATCAGATGATTACTAGGCCGAAACACTGTCCACAATACAGCTCTGATACCTGTATTAAATACATCCCTATCACGTTTCCCGTGTGTTTCATTTTCGTCACCATTCAATATGGGTTTATTCTTTCCTTTTGCGCACCAGTTTAGAAATCAAATCAAATGGTGTTCATAGTTACATCAATAAGTTCTGTACTGTTGCTGTTGAATATAATGTTAAATATTATTAGCGCTAAACACTCCTGAGCAATGTGCTCCTTCATGACATTATAACGTATTTTAAGCACACACGCTCCAGCAATTGTTTTTTCGCGGACAAATTGATACATAGTCCTATTTTAGTAACACCAAGATGCAAAATCGAAAGCTTCCCTATGCATGTATGACGTTTACAGTCCACTCATTACACATATCCTCAGCAAAGGTACGAACCAGTGTAACAGTTAATGAAATAAACATACATATGTACATCCTACGTGTCCTTCTGAACTGTCGAGTATTTAATGTTAAATGTAGTTGATACATGTTTGACGCTTGTATTTGCATGACACATCCTACATGTTTGGCAGTAAACTTTGAGTGAGTGTGGGAGTGAGTTAAAGTTTTACGTCATATCGGTAATATTTGAGCTGTATAGTGACGAGCCAAATATTTGAGGGACCGACTTTGGTAATAATCTTACCTGAGGTGTCTGAAATACACTTTAATATGTGCTTAATAAAGGAATGTATGCCGATGGTTGTGTTTTTGTTTAAACTGGAAGATTGTTGTGAAATTTGATTATGTGTATTTAACCATCCGTCATTCATGCACAGTTTGTAAAAAATAATCTAGTCAAAATGTATTGTTTCTGTGAAGATTGAGGTAAGACTTGACACTGCATCCATATGTCCCCGACCATTTTTATAATGTATATTCCTGCCCAAAGTGCAAATACATTGATAAATTAAAAGATAAGTTTAAATCAATTCGAAATATTGAAAATAGAAACGTGTAGAAATATTCTATGAGTGCTGACTAAGCACTATTAAAGTTCTAACTAAAATGCTTCAATTAAACATCATAATTAAAACTTTTAATCTATTTATTTGATTGCATTTTGGCTATTTATCGGCAATGTTATAATCTAAACATTTTTCTGGTGGCGTAGAAATTAACTTACAGGTTATAAAGGGCGGTATATCGTTAAACAGTTATCGACCGTATCTACGTCCATATTGCCTCAGCTCATAACGTGCATACATATCACAGATTTAACTAGATTGCTGTAGTATGCATAAGCGATATACAATAAGAAAGAGCCATGCCGACATTGTGGAAGTCGGCTTATTTGGGATGACTCGTGCCCCTATCATGGTCTATCGTGTATTCAAAATATATATACAGCTAGTCCATGTCAGACGCAGTGGTCGTATTTGTCCCGTTAACAGCAAGAGGGATGTATTCATCATATATGCCTCATTGGCATATCGTTGTTCATGCCACTATTCAGCACAGGCAATTAATGCAGTCATAGCTAAATGAAATTCACGTTACCTTTCAAGTCTTCGTGAAACGCAAGAATTGGTATTAGTATCAGACAAAATGATTTTGTAACATAACAATTATGGTAAATGAGGAAATGACAGTAAGACATGGATTAACGAAATTCTACAGACATAAGGCATTTGTAAACGTGAAGTAAAGAAAACGTTAATAAACTGGAGAATATAGCTTCATCTTATCTTTGTCTCTAAGGTCAAATGGGTGGCGTTTTAATGAAACGTAGGATTTACTAACAAATCAGGATATGTGAACACTTTGAGACAATGTTATTATATTCAATATTTGGTGTTATGTGTCCAAAACATAGAGAAAACAGTGTCCTTAGTTCGAACAAGCTAACCCGAAACACCATCTACAAAAACGTCAACAATGAATTAAAACAAAGTATTTCTTAAAAACGTATCTAAAAATCAATAAAGAAACCAGCTTGAACAAATAGACAGAAATGATAAATGTACATCTAGGAATGTAATGATGCTGTTGTGAAAGAACATATAAATAGGATCATATATTTTCTTCTGGACATCAATATTTAATATATGTGGACAATCATGAGAAATCCATTGCTTCGGATATCTGCTCAGCTATTTCCAGGCATCTGACTCACGTATATATATTGTCCAGATACCCGCACTTATGACCTTTGTACTACTTGATTCTGATGTAATTCCGCCCTGGAAGCTATTAAGAAATCAGACTTACTCCAGTTTAAGGTTAAGCCACGTAAGTGATGTGCGACTCCTCTTTGACTAATAACCCCGGTTATCATTGTTCAAGCAAATATCACAAAGGTCTTATTCTGGTCAAGACACCTATGACCTTATGCAATGCTTTAATGACCAAAACAACCGGGTAACCAAACCATAAGGTCATGCTTTAGAGACTCAAGTAACCACACATATTTAAACTCATCAATATTTCTTGTTACTGTCATGCGCAAAGCACACCTGTGTTTGGCAGGACGGCGATCGGTACGCTGGACGCCAGGATACTGTAAACTCTCCATGGGCTTAAAACAGTTGAGCTGAACAGTAACAAAATTATGGTTGGCTTTTGACAACATAAACGGAAACACGTTTTGGGTTAAACAACAGCCGCTGATATGTCATGACCGTTGTGGAGTACATATCAGGCATGCAAACTCATTACATCTTTCAAGATGTTACAATTAAATCCCGGTACCAACCATGTTTCATGAAATAGTCTGAGGGAAGGATCGGGAAGAATGGCATCTGATGCTGACACAATATCTTGTCTGTACATGTGGCACTGGAAACACAGTCCTCGAATTAGAAAGTACCAGGTTATTGTCATCATTCTTCAACAATATATTTTACACTTGAGCAAATACTGTTCATTGGCCACAGATGACAGAACTGTACACCGAGGATTCAAGAGATTATTTTACAATCGCGAGAAGTCCTTTCACTTAAGTGCGCATAGTCATGTGTTACGCCATGTGTTACGTGGGCCAGCCTCATCACGTCACGGGTATGGACGTTCCTTTCGAATTCGGGAACATCTGAATGTTGAATACTATGACAAAATATCGCAGGTTCACAAAACAATGGTCACTATTAATGTTGATATAAGTCTTGTTCTTATAATATTATCAACATATGTGCGTAGTATTAATAGGCCGTTTGAGTGAGAACAGTCTCACTCCACTAGTACGTGTTGGAAAAACAGCAATACCGGAGATCACCAGTCGTGAATCTTCGGTTCTTTCCACTGTCGCGTTTATGCCTGCATACACCATTGTTGCAGTGGCCATTGTAGCGGAGGCGATGGTTGTTGTTGCTGCTGTTGCTACACCGACCACAGCGACTGCATCGACTGGTGAAAATAAGCCCTCTGGTAGACCCCACTTGAGGAGTGTTGTAGGTCGGGTTGCTGTTGAGGCTAACAGGTGTGTCTCTGATAGAGCTTTTCCCCAAATTCCCGTTCATTTTCAAGCTTGAGTTTGGCGACCCGCCTCTTCTCCAGGAACTGTAACGAGAGAAAACAGATGATGTAAGGATCCAGATTTTTATCTTATCCTGATGACTGAAACTGACGTGAAACGCTGCCGACCATATTTCACTGTTGGCGAAAGGTTTTGTGATTTATAGAATAGGTAACTCGCCTTTTAAATTACGTAATTACTACGCTACTACGAAAATATTTCTTTCATAAATGCTCAGATATACTTGGTGGGAAAGAACACTATTATCTTCAAGCAGCAATTTTACCATATCATTCATATCAGGTTTTTTTTAAAAGCGCTGTGTTTTGCATGCAAAACCGTCCCTATCGCTGTAGTTTGTTCATGATATTCAGTTCTAAGCTCAGTGTCTTGAACACAAGCGTCAACATCTCATCATGCATCATACACAGAGCAAATTGCCAATAACAAAGATATCAGCTAACGTACGTCTCAATGTGAATGTAGTATTTTATTTGTGGCAACTGTACCAATCACGTAAGAATAAAACAGATCATTCATTATGATTTTACGTGAAATGTGGAACGTAAGAAACAAGCATTAACCATATAAAACATTTCAGAACAAGCATGCCCACACACGTTTTAACACGGGATAACGATTGTATGGAAATTAACACAGTCGCTGAAAAGAAACGCTCCTGACATATGCTAACACGTGTTTGATACTCGTCAAGTGTTATAAACAGATGACATGATACAGCAACTGGAAACGAAAAAATAACAAATGTGTGCAATGGTATCCATTGATGATATGACATGACAGCTGGAAACCTTGACTAGTGAATAGATAGATACTTGTTTGAGGTTGTATGTATCGTCCCAATAACGTTATCGCCCTAAGGATTGTGTTGGAACCATTCCAAAGTTCTCATCTAGGTTTCAAGGCAATGTTCCAATACAATTCAAAACAATATGTACATGTTACAGCATACATTCTCACTGAACGACCAGGAACACAAACAGTTTTCATTTATCATATGCCATCGATACAGTATTTCGTCGTACAGACATCAGCAGGTGCAACCGTAGCCAGAGTGAACTGAAAAAAACATCGTCTGGCTTCACCATAACGGTAAATTTAGACAGGCTTGTGGAATTTTCCAAAATCATCAGGGTAATTTCTCAGAAGTACACTTGCATGAATGCTGGATGAATAGGTGGCTGATCATCATGGCAAAGAATCTGGAATCTCTGATAAGCAGTCTCATCTGTCTGTTTATTCAATTTGAGTCAATCCCCAAGCAATGCCAGTATTATCTGCTTTCGACATCACGCGATAAAATCTACACATAAACACTGCTCCTCTATTAATAGGGCCATGGAGTGTTAGAGGGCGGACAATCACCTACCGATGATCCCCTACATTGTAAACCCTCTACAAAAGCCCATAAAAAGGTTTTAGTAGTTATCTAAAACATCGACTTTGCTTAAAGAGAGTTGTCTGGGGAAGGGATACGAGAAACTTTGCTTAGTTTGTTTCAAAGAGTTTTTCTCTGCACCTTGAATATGGAGAATAGGAGAAAGTTCCGCGCACTGGAAAACACAATCCTCGGCATATGGGAATATGAACCTACCGTCTCGGTATTGTTCAGTTGGTTCAGTCAATATACTTGATAAGGTGTCAAGTTTATAAAGTTTCTGAATATATTCCTTCTCAGTTTCACATGCCTCATGAAGTACATTCGCTCTTTACGTTGTACTTCACGTTGAAATAGAAGCGAGATATTTTGATTCGAATGTAACTCAGAGTCTTATATTCGTCCTTGAAGCGTCTAAATTTGGATTAAGTAAACATGTTGTTTACAGTTTACAGAGTTACGTAATACATCTGGTATTTGTTTTTAAAAATGTCTTCGAAAGTTTAACATATCTAAAACATGTACACTAACAATTGTAACAGAAACGACTAAACCTTCTTTGACTGAAGTAATATAGTATGACCAGAAATTAATGAGAATTTTAGGAATATGTTTAATTGGATTTCTAGAATAAACAACCTTGACCAGCTATCAAGTTCTTGGTTTCATTCAAGAGAGACAACTCCGTTAATCCTTTTTCATTAGTTTGTCAAGAGTTATCCCCTTTGTTTACTTGCTAGCAGACGACATTTTCAGTGATTCTCTGTATAGATGATTTAGAGAAGGGGAGGTTGATTTTAGAGTATTATAACAAGGACATCAGATCAGCTAAAGTGATTTCAAGTAGAACAGGCATCCCTTTGTCCACTGTTTATCGTGTTTTGAAAAATATTGCAAATGGATATGGCATTGAGCACCAGGGAGCCGCAGGTAGGCCCAGAAAATTGACTGTCGGTGACAGGAAGCGGCTTGGTATTCTTGTTTCTAAAAACCAAACGAAGGAGTTTAGAAAACTTAAGGCTGGATATGATTGATAGAGGAACTGTGGCTGTCTGTAAGGAGATAATTAGAACTGAGCTGCATGCAATGGGTTGGCAGAAAAGTCGAGGAATTCCATCACCGATCATGAAACCTGAACAAAAGGAGCGAATGTTGAACTGGTGCTTACAGCATAGAAATTTTAACTGGGACAATGTGATTTTCTCAGATGAAAGTTCTATGTGGCTGTTTCCTAATACACTGAAATTCTGGACCAAACAAACTGAAAAGCCTTTGTATCAGCGCCCAATGTACAGTCCGAAATTTAACGTGTGGGGTGGCATATCTGTGTTAGGGGCAACGCCCCTCTGTGTATTTGAAGGGAATATGGACAGTGAGCGGTACACAGATATTCTCAAGGGACATTTACTTCCATCTGCTCACGTGTTCTATGGATATGTTTGGATTTTCCAGCAGGACAACGACCCAAAACATCGTTCAAAGCATTCACAGGCCTGGTTTCGGACCCAAAATATGACATTATTAGATTGGCCAAGCTATAGCCCTGACCTAAACCCAATAGAAAATGTTTGGGGACTTATGAAGGAAAGTGTCAATATATGAAAAATCTGACAAATATTGCTGAAATAAAAGAAGAGGTGGTCCGATATTGGGACAGCATGGACCACGACTTTCTAACTTCTTTGATCAGTAGTATGCCCTGCCGCATTGAAGCCTGGATTGCTGCCCATGGTGACTTGACAAAATACTAACTGTTCACCTGTCTTTGAATCTGGAGTTATGTTCTGCTAATATTCATACGTGAGTAATTAGTGAAAAAAATAAACAAATTTACAATCTTTAAATTCTCAATAATTCTGGTTGAACTGTAAGTGTCTGTATCACGTATGAAAAACATACGTCTATATTTCATAGCTAGAATAACGATATACACCAAAAACAGAAAAAGTACTGCGTACTAAGGTTTATAATAATTTCACTTCTCAAAGCAATGTAAAACTTCATAAGAGTTTATGTTTATATGTTTTTCTTGTTGTATTACTGATGCTCATTATGTATAGCCTGGCCTGGCCTGGACGAATCGCAAACATGAGCATAAGGTGAAACAGATTTTCAAGAAACATGCCATACTTATAAAACATAATTATGTGCCAAATTGACACATTGGTCAATACACACACCCTTAAAGTACCTTCAAGACACACTGATTTTAACCATAGCATCCTATGGGGTACCCAGTTACAGCTGGGCTAACATAGCCACTTTTCAAACACTTGCCCAAAGAGCGAGTGCTACATGTGCTTTAGTGTGCTACATGTGCTTTAGTGTTGAACAAAAACAAAGCTTTAGAAAGTCTGTCACCAAAAAACACCTTCTCCCCTCGACTAATAGTGTTCACTGGTTGGAGGTGCAAACGCCTCCAACCTTGTAATCAAGCTGAATGTGTCTCTCGGGTGAACGTCCTCTCTATACTTCAGACAATGGTAATTAGTCTCTTTGTATTTTGGCAATTCCAACTGACCAATGAACATAGCTGTATCAAATTAGAAGCAACGTGACCATGTGGGTAATCCAAACCAATTTTCCCGATTTACTTCATAGTTAGTGCGGAAATCGAGTTTTCTATGAATCTCTAATTTAGACACATTCTGTGTTTTACTGATCAAAAACGTTAATAAACTGATACACGTTCAATTCAAAACAATTTTATACGTAATAGAGCACACTTGTACTAGTTCAGTGCATAATTTCAAATTGCAGAATCGGAAAATCCATTTCAATTTGGTAGTACCTATTATTTTTTCCTGGAATTTAGCGAAGGGCCAACTGGTTTCCTAGAATTTGTTCGAGAAGCATGTTCAGTAACAGTACCACGTGTCTAAGTAATCACTGTGCAAACCCACGCGCGCTTATAGACGCGCTGGCCCGGCAGTGGCACTATATAGGACCAAGTTTCCTCCGTCCGTCACTAGTACTTCGTTTCCAGACATGGCTTGACATGACAAAGACGTTTGATATGAAATATACTGGAGATGAGAGTACCGTATATGCGATGCGAGTACCGATCTGTAATAGAAGCAAGTCTCTAATAGACGGAGGTATGGTCACCGTGATGCTCTTGAAATCAGCTTCACCCACAAATCATCTCACGTCCTTCTCACTAAATTTCTTAACTTACCAACGTAGCCTTTTTAAAGGCTTTTCTTGTTTTAACCTGTTTTGTAACCTATGCGCTGTACGTTCTTGAACCACTCACGCATGAAAGAGAGTTGTGAAAATAACACATGAGCCGAGCAATGTCTTTGTTACACACAGGTATTGTATTTTTCAGTCACTTGTTACCTCCTAACAAATGTAAATTATCACATTCTGAACAAACTGTATACAAGAAAATAGGAGAAAAAACAATTTATTACGCCGTAATTTGTTTGCATTATAAGAGGATCCTTCCTGGAGCACACGTTCCAGGGTTCGACTGACGGGAATTTCCAACCATACATTTAAAGTAAGCAGACAAAAGGTCTGTCTGCAACATGGAAACAAAGTGTTACTATTCCTAGTTTGCTGAACTAAGTGTACCCATTTTTCCAAATCAATGTCTAAGACACGATATCCTTAAGGAAAAATTAAGGTATCACAATAACG